TTCGTGCTGAGACTCTAAGGCAGAAGGCCTGGGTTTAATTCTTCAACAGCTCCATTACACTAATACTGATGCTGATAAATCAATACACATTAATACCTGCCTTTAGAAATAACTTTCATAAAAGTGCGAACTAAATATAGAATTGGTGTAGAGGACAAAAACCTTTTTTTAATTTATTTTCTAAAAGTTCCGTTCAAGTTCCGCCAGAGGCTGCTTAGAATGGTTCAATTATGGTACCGGAACTTTCAAGTTCTTATAACGACTTAAAAATGAGGCTGCTTAGAATTCTATAGACCACCTTTAACCAAGGTGCTTAAGCCATAAATAGCCTTTTATCAGAACTTTTGGTTACTTGGGAAGTTTGCGGAGCCCACCGAGACTAGGCGCAGCAACCGGCGGCTGGTCCACAAACTCTTTGACAAGTGCCGCGACGGTATACTTCTTCTTATCGTAGAACACACTTCCACAATCCACCAGCTGCAGCTTCACGAAATCTTTAAATGCAGCATACAAACAGGTTCTTAAAGGAAGTCCAAAGTTTCCGATCGCCCTTGAATACCGGAAGAGTGAATGTTGGCAAGTTCACCTCGAGCGGAAGTTAACCCCCGGAAGCCTGAGCATTAGCAAACGGACGGAAAAGATTCACCGGGAAGTGACACCCGTAATTAGGTTCTGCAGTGTGACGTCACAAATGAACTCAGTGTTAAACGGCTGAACCTTTTTGACAGTTCAGTGGTACTGTTTACAAGCACTTAGTCGTTTTTTCGAAAAAAATATATTTTAAAATTTCCGAATTTTAATTTGAAAATTGTCGAGGAACAGTGTGGTGCAAGGATGTTGCTCGTGGACAATGCAGAAGTACGGTTTACATCTAACTGCAGTCTAAAAAATTATCGAATAAATCTACCCAACAAAAAATCAACTAAGTCCACGTAAACAGTACCACTGAACTGTCATCTGATTGAGGTTAACCCCGACGGTGCAAAACCTAATAAGGGCCGAAGTGAAGGTTCTTATTACGAATATCACTTCACGGTGGAAACGAAGTGAATTAGTTTATTACGAGTGTCACTTCACTTCGTTTTCACGGTGAAGTGATTGACGTGTAAATCAAATGGACATCACTCCACCGTGAGTGATAGGTTGTCACTTCAACGAGAATTGACATCGATAATAAGGGCCATTCAGTCCAATCCGAATATTCAACGGACATTCCGAACGTCAGCAGAAGCATCAACACTGGCATCGTCACCCAAAACACAGGTACTTCCTCCGGGACAAGCTACTGACCTCCTCCCGACGAATCCGTGATGATGAATACATCTTCCCAAGCGTTGTGTTTTGCTGGTATTCTGGGCCTTATTACGGGTGTCACTACACTGTGATAAGGAAGTGATACTCAGAATAAGAGCCGTGATTGCCGTACAAATCATAAGGGAATCACAATGGGATAAGTTTTCACCGTGAAGTGACAACCGATCCAGATGATAACTTTCCACTGGAAAATCCGAGAAAAAATCGAGAAATCGTACATAACTAATTATAAGAGGAAGGATGTTGATTGTTTTTTGCTTTCGCTTGCCTGTCAAAACGGTGCTTTTGTTGAAAATTATATGGTAAGAAAAAAGTACAACCACAAACGAAGTGACAGACGGAGGGAGCAGCTCGAAAACTTTGGTGACGAACCTGCTGTTGCAATTTTTCAGTGTAACACATGGCAACACTGCTACTGGATTGTACTAGCATTTTCATCAAAAGTACTTGAATGTTTTGGTTCTATCTCGTTCACACTACTCAAAACTGAAATGCATAATAAAAATTACAAAATGATACACTCTTTAAACACTGTCGAAGATCATTGCACACTAAATCAACTTTGTTCAAATTAAAACAAAAATACTCGCCCATCTAGTGGCTGACGGCACAAGCTTCTAAGAAAATTCTTTTACAGCGAACCACATTATTTTAATTGATTCCTTCACCAGTTAGTCGTCTGTCACTTCGTGTGTAATACAACGGGAAAGATTTGTTGAAAACTGTTCGAATGACGTACACGCAGAAAAATACGGCATATTAGAATCAAAAATATTAACGCTTTGATTCAAATGCAAAATTTTTGTCAAATCAATAAATATGTTTATTTGATTCTAATACAGGGCAGAATTGGTTCTAAAATATTTACATTAGAAACAAAGATCTTGGTTTTAGATTCAAAAAATATGCCTTTGAAAATGATATGATCTCCGCCATTTTATTAAATCACGCAAACGGAAAAATGGACTCGTCGGAAGAAGTCGTCATTGAAGAGTTGGAAGTGGAAACGCTAGGTGTGGATGAATTGGAAGTGTTAAAATTATTGAAATCGTTTGAGTTGTGCGATGCTGTAGTTTGTGCTTTCATTGGTAAGAAAATTGATATTATATGTACTATGAAGATTCTAATATTTGTGATTATTCCAGCAAACCGATACACTGTCGATATTCTGAAGTTTATCGAACGGAAGGAAGTGGAGGAACTAATCCAGCAGCCATTTTTAGCGGAAAGAACTAAATGCATCCACGGAATCAATGCATGGAGAAAAAGCCTGGTGAGTAAACCGTAATTTATTAAAAGAATCAAATCAGCAATGTCTTATTCCTTTTAACCAGCATCTTCCGCCGTTGGCTGAATCAGCGCCGTCGCCTTTTCCACCTACGCTTCTCGCCATTCATGAACCAGACGTAACAAGAGCTGACTGTACAGCAACTTATTTGCTGCAAACATCTGCAAGAGGCAAGGCAATTCTAACAAAATATCAAACGAACAAACTTCTGACAAGATCTGACAAGCGCATCATAACACAAATCGTGGTAGACGGTTTTAAAGACCGTTTTTCAAAGCTAACTGCCTCCGAATTGCAAGACAGAGCAGTTGAGTTGTGTTTACTGTTTCCAAGTGAACCACAGGTAAGATTTTACTTATTTTGCTTTTTTTTCAGCTATGCACTAATTATAAGTAATTATTTAATAAAACATCACTTGGACCGTTCTTAATATCAACACCATAATCGGGTAGGGGAAAGATTCCTCTACACGATGATGTTGTTGGTTTGCGTGGGCGGCCTTCGCTTTGTCAGGCAAGGGCTTAAGAACGGTTTGTTTACAAATGCTGATGGGCCCTTTTCTATTGTTAATCCAGCTTTCAGCTGCAATCTTATTAGCTCTCTGCATATACGAAATCCAAGTTTGATTAATGTATCAACAACAACTCACACTAATCAAAGTCTTTGTTTACTTTCTCTACAGGAGAGTTGGTATCAACCTGCATGGACGACCGATGGCTCTGGGCGGAGAGTTAAACTGAGAAAACAAGCAAAAGGAACCCTACGTGACCGCAACATCAATTACAGAGAAGATAAAGTGGAGAGTATTGTTCAAGGAACGAGTCAAGCCGTTGTTACAGCATTAGAAAATCCTGCATCAACGAGCGACATCACCCAAAACGATTGTAAGTTTCATATATGTTAACTATGTTAGACAATAACAAAAATTCTCTTCAGTAACGGAATATCAACGGACCAAAAAATGGATTATCCATAATCAGGACGACTGGGATGAAGTAAAGAACAAGTGGAAGCAAACAACAAAGCCAAGATTGCTTGAATTATTGGACAACCAGAAACGAAACACTGCTTCTATTTTGGCTGAGTATCCTGTGTTGAGACACCACCAAGCTTATCAATTAGTCCAAATCGATTTTCAACAACGTTTTCCGGAAAAAGAAAAACTTCTTTTCGATCGATGGGAGTCATTTGTGAGCGAAGTTTTTCCGAATTTTGGAAGTTGAAGTAACGGATACGGTCGGAAAAAGCTTACTAAGTTTTCTGAAAGCAGATGACATCTCTAATGGTAAGTTGAAATTTAAGTTAAATACTAATCTACATTGTTCTCATGTATTTTCGTAGATGGACGGGGGCTCATAACCATCTGGCTGCTAAATCACATCTTGCCAAGCCCTATTCTCAGGACACCGGGAAAGAATCGTTGGAAACCGTCCATAATTGAATCCCGAGAGAGCGTCGCAGTTTTGATCAAGGATTTGGCAGTGCTTCAAACTACACTTGCCAAAATATTCAAAACATTACAGACGAGAAGTGTCGATCTAACTCCATTCATTGTGGTTCACGGGGAAGATCCGAAAAATCCTACATCATTTTCAGTTTGGAACAACGTTATCTCATACAAGCTACCGAGCTTTCAAAAAGCGCTTGACGTGTGCTTGAAACTCTATAAGTCGTATGGTATTTCCTTCCCACGACAGTCATCATCAGTTTGGAACTTATTGGCAAACCTGTTGTTCGATTTTGAGATTCCCCGTGAACAAACGAATGTCGTAGCATTGTGTACTTCACTGCGTAACAGTGTTCGACAACAAGAACAACAACAACAGTAATAAAAATGATTCGATGTGTAGCACGACGATGCAACTGGACATCGCAATCGATTCATCGCTTCCACGACCATATAAATAAATATCATGGTAACCTGGACGTATACGAATGCAACATCGGTGATTGCACTAGGAAATATAGTGTTAAATCTTCATTCTATCGGCACTTGAACAAACACTTTGAGGAAACCAGTAACACGACAAATGAGAGCACAGCACAACAGCATAATATCGAAGGTTCTTTTGCATATGCCGAAACGCCCACACCAAAACACAACACAGTCGAAAAAATTGAAAGTGACATGGAGGATACGCCCCCACCAGATGAAACACAATGCTCGATGTATACAACCAATCTAAATCTGATGGTCAAACGAATGGAAAACGCTTCAATCCATTTTAATCTGAAATATTTAAGTGCAAACACTCTTCCAAGGAAAGTTGTTTTCGATGTACAACAAGACATTCAAAACATGTTTTTAAATCCGCTTAGTAACATAGTTAAATTAATGGAGTCTTCAGGTTGTATTACGGCAGAAGGGAAAATAATGTTCGATGAAATATTTGCAAATATGCATAACAGCGATACAGAGTACAAATTCGTTGAACAACTGAAGGCGAATGAGTTGTATGCAGAACCGAGAGAATTTGTACTCAGTAACGAATTACGTCCGGGTATTGTACGGAATGCGCAGCAAATGAGTAACGACCCCATTACAGGTAAAATAATAATGTAATATAGTTGACTACATGTTTGGTAATTAAATTAACATAATATATTTACATTTTTAGCTATTCTAATGCCTTTGAATTTTCAACTACGGAAGTACATGGAATCAGATGGTGTTATGGATACTATATTAAAGAGCTTAACGCCTTCGAGTGATGGATGTATCAGAACCATGGTTGACGGTAACCTGTGGAAGCAGCGCACAATGTACTCTGACAATAAGTTGATAGTGCCTTTGAACTTGTTTTTCGACGATTTTACAACTGGCGATACCGTTTCACCGCATGCGGCTAAAACTTCTATTTGTGGGATTTACTATTATGTTCCCTGTTTGCCTGCTCACATTCTGACAAAACTGTCAAATATTCATGTAGCTGGATTTATATTGTCAGCGGATAGAAAGGAATTCGATAACAATTTTCTTTTTCGTAATCTAGTAGATATACTAATTGAATTAGAGACAAACGGATTAGAGATTAACTTCAAAGGAGAGAAAATAGTTATCCATTTCATGTTAGGATTCATTACCGGTGATAACTTAGGACTTTCTGGTATCTTAGATCTAGTTGAATCCGTTCGAGCCAATTATTATTGTCGTTTGTGCAAAAGAAACCGAAACCAGAGAGAAAAGGATACTACCGAATACACCGAAACATTCAGAACTGTAAAAAGCTACGATGAAGATTTAAACTTGGACGATGTATCACTTACTGGTGTGAAAAAGAAGAGCATTTTTAATGAGATTCCTTCCTTTCATGTTACCTTCAACGTTTACTTTGATTTGATGCATGATCTTTGGGAAGGCGTGTGCATTTATGGGTTAGGGCATTATTTGAACTATTTTATTAACGTTAAAAACACATTCCCACTTGACGAACTGAATTTTAGAAAAAATACATTTGTGTTCGGAAACCTTAATTCGTCCAATATTCCAAGCGATATTAAAGACATAAATATCTCTAAAAGCAAAATCAAAATGACTGCAAGTGAAATTAAAACGTTAGTTAACTTCCTTCCACTCATCATAGGAATGTTAGTACCAGAAGAGGACGAGGTTTGGAAACATTTTTGTTTGTTGCTTCAAATCTGTCACATTCTCATGCTGCGTGAAATATCAATTGAATACCTGGAGATTTTGAAAAAGTTAGTAGATGTTCATCACTCACAGTATTTGACATTGTTTAATGACACGTTAAAGCCCAAACATCATAATTTATTACATTATGCTACATTTGTTATGCAATCAGGTGCTCCTAGGCATCAATGGGCTATGCGAGGAGAAGCAAAACATCGAGATTCAAAACAGTATAGTAGAGCTACTAACAACAAGATAAATTTGTGTAAATCTCTAGCAATTAAGGCCGGATTCAAATTTGCGTCCAGCGTGTTAAATGGTAGCTTTTTGGAACCAGAAATAGATTTACGGGATTCGAAAATAACTATGTCACCACTATTTGAAGAATATAAACACCTCTTAACTACTTACGATACGATTAATGATGATGCTATACGATATGTGGATAGATTTAAAAAGCAAGGGATGATTTTCATGAAGAATGTGTATTTTTACATTAGGCAGCGTAATCTCATCAGCATTTATGAGTTAGACAAAATAATATTAGATAACGATGAGCAACTAATATTGATTTGTTTCAGGGTTCTGTCCCGTAAATTTCACGATCATTTGCAGTCATTTGAAGTTAACAAAACAACTGAAAGAACAGTTATCACCAACATTAACATTCTTGAAATGTGTACAATCAATCTGCATAAAATAGAAGAAAGATTGTTATTTAGATGCTGTAATTATGTAAATATAATAAATATTGTTTGAAAACCAAAAAGTATCATGAAAGTTTTAGTTAAACAATAGGGCCCTACTATGTAAATCGAGTCGAGTGACACTTCTGGTCGCTGGTCTATTTTGTTATTACTTCTGTAAAACCAAAATAGACCAGTAAGCAGAAGTGACGCTCGACTCGACTTACATAATAGGGCCAATAAAAATTTAAATATTACGGTAAATCAAGTTATTAGAATCAACAAAAGGTTTCTTAAAAACAAAAAACCATTTTTTTTAATCAAAAAGATTTTTTTTTGTTTCAAAAAAGAAGCGCATCATTGAAATAAAAATAATTGCTTTGTTTCACAAATTCATATGATAGATTCAAATAAAAATGTTATTGAATCTACTCACAGTCATATGGAAGCTTGATTGTAAAATCAACAAACATTTGCTTTGAAACTAATAACAAATATTGTTGATTCAAAGAAAATTACTATTAGGCCCTGATTCTATAATAATTTTTGTTGAATTCAAAGCGGTTTATTTTTGAATTTAAAAGCCATTTCTCTGCGTGTATACATGTCAATTTGTCATTTGCGGCACTATTTTACTTACGCACAGCGTTTCCATTTTGGCTTAATCACTCCTCTCCACACCGGTCGTTGCTATCAGAGTCATAATTTAGGTTACCGTTTTCCACACCGGCAAAACAAACTTTTGACATTTATTCAAAATAGCAACGGTCTGATGCGTTGCTACCGGGTTGCTAAATTTATGAACTCACTACTTCCCAAGGTGCGGATCCCACATAATGGTAAATGTGCCTTATTTACTCATTGGTACACGCAAACCAAAAATCTATTACAATGAATGTTAGTTCCGTTTCCTATCATCCTCTGTTCATGAACATCGCAACGAATGTTAGAAATTGACCATGCAGGCGATGTAATGGTTTTTTGTCTTTTTTATTTCGTGTTCTATCTACGCTTTCGACTATACCAGTAAGCTTGTAGAACGACGCACATTGTAGAACATTGTAGAACGACGCACACACTTGCCTCGAATCTCTCCAGCAGAAAAAGCATATGAAGTCGAGTATGCAAGAAAATGAGCGCTCCATGTTTTACATAGTTGAAGATGGTAATTTCAAATAACAGACTAAAGTGGTAATTTTTATACGATAGATGGAGGAAATGGAAGTCTAGAGTTGATAGTTCCGTTAGAGTACGGCAGTGTGAAAATTGCATATAGATAGTAGATAGCGAGCTAGGACAACTTTTAAGGAAGGTACAAATCGGTTTTTTTCATCTCTCTTTACCAAACTCCCCCTTTGTAGAGGGATGGTGAGGGGTGTCCCTCCCCCCACGCAGAAGTAATACTGAACATATAGTCAAAGCTTCATGTTTGCTTTTAGGCTATCCATATTCAGGAGCATGGAGAGAGCAGTAGAGAAAGCACAGGTCTGAAAATTGCAACGTTCATGGTTCGAGTGCAGTCGGCAATCTGCTTCCTATTTTTTTCGACATAACTGATTTACCGCACTTATACACTCTACATTTTTCGGTCTCCAATTTTCTTGCATTCCATCGCAGCTAGGTATATCGCATCCTCGGTTCATGCGGTCTTCACTAACATCCTTTGATGATGAATCCCACTTAATTGTAAGCGAATCATACATCCCTGGTTGGCTGTACGGTTGCTCTAACATTTTCCGTTGGGAATAATCCCCCAAAACATATTGCGCATTTCACACCAAACTGGACACATAAGGGCGTTTTCACTTATTGAAAAGTGTGATAAAAGTGCGAGTTTCCGTCTGATCGCCTTGATGTCTTCGGTGCACTTACTCCTTATGATTCAAGCAATAAGTGCTCCGAAGACATCAACACGGTTTAACGGAAACATGCACTTTCATCACCATTTTTTCTTTTTTAGGGGAGTCCAGCTTTAGATGCAATCAGCAGTACTTTTCCGTTTTCTTTTCAGCTGCTCGGCTCCAGAATTACATTAGGCTTTACTCCTTGATAAGATAAGAATAATATTATCGGAATGCGTGTACCGTTCAATCTAACGGATCATATTGTGAGAGTGTCAATTCATAGTTTTCGTGAAGCGCTAACTTAGCCTTTTCCACACGCTTTCGTTTATCCAAGTTGAGTCTTATGCTTTATATCAAACTGTTAAATTGCTCTTGCGAATTATTCGCTTACTTGCAGTCGTCCGGATAGGGAGCCAGATAGTTGCTTTATCGTGAATAGTTTACAGTGACTTCAGGCTTCAGTGAATAATTAGTTTGCTAGGTTTAAGGTAATACATTTTCAATTACTCATTCTAACCTACTAAAATACTTAAGCTTCCTAGAGTGCAAAAGCGTATCACAAACCGTCAAGTGTGAACATTTTGGAGCAAATGGACCCCCTACATAATCTGTTTGACTACCGGTTGGGTTGATGCTCGATCGTATCGTGTGTGAAGTGGTTGCAAGACAAAACTTGCAGCAAATCAGTTGAAGGAAAACCGAAGCGTTTTGATTAATTTGATTAGCTTGTGAAGAGCTTTGAGTGCGTTTGTTCTAAAGTCTGAACATTCGATATTCTATGTACCTTGGGTTGCCAGGGAGGCAACTTTAAAATCATCTTCAGACCATATTGGCACAGCGTAAAGCATGGCCGGTCTAAAAACTTGTTTAAATATTAGAAGTTTATTCGTCAGGCAAAGTTTGGATTTCCTGTTTATAAGAGGATACAAACATTTGATATATTTGTTATATTTGGCTTGAATGCCCTCAATGTGATCCTTAAAAGTTAATTTTTGGTCAAGTACTAATCCAAGATATTTCACTTGGTTTGACCAGGAAATTGGAACTCCGTTCATAGTGACTATGTGACTACTACTACGTTTCAAAAAGGAAGCTCTAGGCTTATGTGGAAATATTATAAGTTGAGTTTTGGAAGCGTTGTGGAGAAATCTTCCATTTTTGTAAATAAGAAGAGAAAATATCTAAACTTTTCTGCAGTCTGCTGCAAATAACACGAAGACTTCTTCCTTTAGCGGAAATGCCTGTGTCATCAGCGAACAAAGATTTGTGGCAACCCTGTGGCAAATCTGGGAGGTCCGAAGTGAAAATGTTATACAATATAGACCCAAGAATGCCACCCTGAGGA